GTTTTTTTCCTGAGGGCATACCGTAAAGCCCTTCTTCGCATCTTCCTCCTGTAATCTATGGTGTTAGATAAAATTACGAAAAAGGATATCTAACATCGCTGATGAGGAAAATTATGACATGAAATTCATTTTAATTAGGATTAGAATAGTTAAAAATCTGCAACATTAAATAACTTGAAAAATGCAAGAGTAGGAAATTTTTTTTCACGAAAAAACATTGGCCTATCAAAAATAGTGAGCAATAGGCCCAACAATATTAAGTGAAATCATTTCAAGCCTAGAGAAGACAGATTTTGTCAACTTCCTGTAGCGCAACGTGAGCAGTCAGTAAAAAGCCATTAAATGTTTATATCTCACTCTCATTTCAAGAAATGCATCAAATTGGAAATCTTCTTCACCACCAGGACTGAATGCTCCCTCCAAACTTGATGTCTCTTCATCAGCACTGCTCGGCTGAGATGTTCGCCAAAACTTTGGTGAAGGCACTTTCCTTGTTGTGCCGTTATTCCGAAAAGCGTTAGCAAAATTAAGAAGTGCTTTTCCCGCCTAAAATAGCAATTGTTAATCATATTTCTATTGCTAAGATCACACTGAGAACGGAAACGAAAAGCATGCTAATCCATATCACTGGATTCAGTATAGCCAGGTCAATATTAGAGAGTTTACATTACTAATTAATAGAATACTTTTGTTCTTAACTTTTTTGAAGCAAATATAACTCAACAAGAATAAATTGAAAATAATTCGTACATAAACAGCCTTCCACGGATCTTCGCTTACAGCAAACATGAAAAAGAGACAATAACTATAATCTAACAGTAACTTACTGCTTCAGGAACTTGACAACGAAAAACATGGCACTGATGTAAGGCACCATCGGTAGGTGTCGCATTCTTCTGCGTAAAAGAGAGTGCAAAGCATTCACGTTCCGCAGAATCGAGCTGACCACGAGCGCAAAATCTGATTCGATGAACTGGAAAACTGACCATTTCGGATTTGGTTGTACCATCACACATTCTACAAACAAAACTTTTTTGCAGCATGCATGCATATCTGTTAGTAGATGAAGCAGTAAAATTAAAACTTAATGCAAACAAGCATAACATGCATTCTTCTGTAAAATCCACTCCATTCCTGAATGACCGACCCTTAAATGGAAGAGCGGAACACTTATCCCGACATATTTAAAAAGAATAGAAAGGATAACACCCGCTACAATATTCTGTTTCTGTGTTTCACTCGAATATATGTTAAGGATCCGACAAATCTTACTGTCTTATCTAATCCATTCCGGTCACCAAGCAAGAATGCAAAGCTGTTACCATTGTTGCACTACAATGATTTGTTCAGATCGAACTTCAGAATATTTCTGAATTGTTAATGAAAATTCCTATTGAAGGACAAAAATCGATTACAAATTACGTTTAGTGAATTATGGATTGAGAAATAACAGATAAAATTACTGAAATCGAAATGTGAAAAAAAAAGAATAAAAGAAAAAGAAAAAAAAAATGATCATGGAAGTGTCGTCAGTGAAGAAGCCTTAATACAAGAAACAGCAGGTCCCACTCCGCCAAAATTAACAAGAAACTATTTTGTGTACTGCAAAGAGCATCAGAAAAAATAAATACAAACCGAACTATGCCAAAAGAAGATTCGGGAATAAATAATATCACATCAATTGGCTTTTCCGAGCGCTCTTTATTCAATAGTTGCATTATTTTCAAAATTTCAGCTTCATTGCTAGGATTTTCAATTTTTGCACAACCCAAATATGATATCTGAAATTAGTAAAGTTGTACTAAATTATTTTAAGTAAACATAGAAAATAAAGCCTAAATACGAAACCGTACAAAAAATAGGAGAAAACAAAATTCTTAAAAAAACTTCAAAAAAAGTATGTTTGCATGATAAATAATTAACAATATTTATTGATAATAAATATGCAATTAATATGATGACAGTTACCACTGGTTACTTTAAATATACAGCATCTCATTTGTAACTGTAACAAAAATTGAAAAACCTACCTGTTCCATAGCAGCAGCTGTAACCCGATCAAGATGACGTGATACTGATAGTTCCGCCTTGCTGCTATCAACACGAGCTGTTGTTTGTGCTAATGAAATTGAAGCTGCCAGTTTGTACCGAAAACGAAAAAAAAAACATCATTTGAAAGTACAACATGGCACATATAACGCTTATATATGCGAATGTCAACACTTTCCTGATACAGTAGAATAAAACAACTAAAGTATGAAAAAAAAAATGATAATATTTATCCGATATTTCGTCGGAATTATCACGAATCCCAAAGATATGATTTGCATTGATACCTCACACATTTTTTGTTGCGCTATGTCAATTCTCAACAAATATCAGATAATTTTCACTGAAAAGGAAAAAAGAGTGAGTTAAAGTTGCAAGTGTCATATAATTTTCAATAATTCGTTAAAAGTTAATGATAAAAAGTTTATGATGAAAAATAAGTGAATGATGAAAAGATAATTACTGACAAATGATAGTAATACAGTACAGTAATCATAAAAACAAACGATCTGTTGAAATTATTTTCGATTTTTACTTAAATTAGATAAGATAAAAAGTAACACACAACTGTTAACTATATGAAAATATGGCAATGAATATCTTCGTGTAACACAAGAAATAAGCAGGGAAGATCAATATTCGATGGATTAATTAGTGTTTGCAAAAAGTGGATGGACAAACCGCGATCTCTCACCTCTTCAGAATTTACTTCACTTTTATACTTTTACATCTGTTTACATCAAAATTATTGCTGTACAAATTACTTCTACGTTCAGTACTATCTTATTTTATGACTAGAAGTAGCAGTTAATACCGAAATAATAAGTAATCGAACGATAAATTTGGAAAGCATGCTACCTAATTTAAAGAGAAGAATCTGCAACATTATTTATTAGTGTTTAGTTGTCCATCTCTTCATTACGTGTGCAAATCATCACTCACGTATGTTCGTGTAATAAAACAGACATATATAAACATACATTCGTGTTGAAGAAAGCATATCCACGTAAGTATACGCAGATAATACGAAGACACGTGAACATACATATTTCTGACATGCAAAAAAAATTGCTGATGCTTCCTCGTTCTTGTAAATTTACAATAATCGACACAAATAGAACATACATACACTGATATCATAATTCATCCACTTACATATACAAACATACGCATACTCATCTGGTTGTATAGCCATAACTGTGATAGATGGATTACCTAGCTGAAGCAGTACAAAGTTCGTGCGAGAGATGTTAACTAACAGAAGCATACAAATACTTACCAATACCGTCATACGTACACATATACGTGAATATAATGTTAACCGTAATAAACGGATTACTTTGCTGAAAGCATACACGTATAATACTGATTCACACGTAGACAAACGTCAATTCGTAGAGTACAAATACTCTCCACACCGTCATATACAATGCACGTGCGTGTGTGTGTGTGTGCACATGACCGAATGAGATCGATTCGTTTGCAGCCCTTGCAGGGGAATGTGTGAGCTTCGCATTTAGATCCCATTTGTCGCATCTTTCCCACACTCTACACTGCATTGCACTGCACTGCATCCGCCTACACTTCACTGCATCGCATGTCGCATGTCACTGTACTTTACTGCCATACATTGCACCTCTCTTTCTCCACTCTACCTCGTTTCAGTTGTATGGATTACACGTGATGTGTTCACGTTTGGATCACGTTTGCTGCTAATATCATTTGTGGATGGATAAGAGCATCATTTAGCACATTACTTCATTCATTCTATCAAAAAATGCCTGATGTTAGGCCGGATGGACATTACTAAACAGTGTAATTTTCCATATGACAATACATCTCGTACGCATGGCCTTAAGCATCTATCAAATATTTAGATTCGCTATAACTTGAACCGAAATACATACAGCATTTGAGAAAATTGCATTTGATGATTATTCGTCCGAAACAGAAAAGTACCAATCGTTTCACTAGTATTTTATCAGAGTTGCCAAAACTTGGAAGATAGGAAGTTCCGTAATATATTAGGAAAAAAAAGATGAATTCCGGAATTTATACTTTCGGAACTGTCTGTTGTAATGCAAAAGTATCGAAATTTCCACGATTTAATATGTTGAAATTACATATTTCAAAACAGCGAAAATATTTGTTCCTCCCTTTGCAATGATAATAACACATACAGACACATTTCATCCGAAGGAAATGGAATTCGGTCAAATCAGTGAAAACAGTCCTAAGCAGGGATGAAATGTTTCAACAACAATCAATTAATATTTCATTCATTTCATGAATTGTTTAGCGGTCAAAATATCGCGGAATTTTTCACATGATTGGAAAATATTCAAGTCCGACGATAGTTTTAATAAAATGTATATATTTTCGCTGAGAAAGATAAAAATACAGGGTAATACAATAAGTTGCAATCAGTAATATTTCAGTAAGTAACCATATCTGTTCATTAAGTTAGCAGCAAGAAGCATTTTGCAAAATTGGCATTGAAAAAAATTGGGACAAAAATCAAATAACTGAAGATGTTTCCCGAAATGTACTAATTGTTTTTTATAAATTATTATAACTTAAAATAGAAAAAGGAAAATTTAATTTGAAACTTGAAAGTGCCGTAGAACAAAATTTTAATTTCGGAAGTTAATAAAAATGTTACATGGAGGATATCATCATACCTGCTGCTTATTTCTGCAGTTACCTCTCAATTATTTAGACGTTTTTTGCTCGAGTGTGACAGAGTACATCAATCTTGAATTCCTACTTCAGAAAAAGAAACACGGTTAAACCAGTTTTAGTACATATAGTCCAAACAATGAAAAGCTACTATTTCTCATCACCCAGGCTACTTAAAAGAAAAAAAAAAACATAGGACATAGACAGTACAATTCAAGTTAGTTATCAGTAAACTCTGACATGAAATTAGAATTGCAACAACTGTCGAACATTTATTTCTTCGTCTTTGCTGTCTTCTTTTGTCTATTTTCAGTCAGAACATCTATTCTCTTTTTCACACTTTCCATGGCATCCTTCGCACCATCGATCGCTTTGTGTGCAATTAACAACTTAAAACAACGGCAGTAAACAGAAATTAAAATCAATTATTTTTTTTTTCCGAGCCAGTTTCAATCTTAATTTACGATAATTGAACAACATGAGCTTGCACTAGTATAATAAAGCTTCTGACATCGAAAAATCTTTGTCTTTAATGATTATATAACAGGTAGAATAACACAATTTAGCAACTGAGGTCACAAGAATTTGAGATATTCATCGTGACCCTAGCAATCAGAGTAGAATTTGATTCTAATATTACACAGCTTTTAAAAACAGACTTTTGAAGCGCAACGAAAAAGACACTCAATTTTGCTAAACAAAAAAGAAGCCAGACCATTAAGGATGCTCTTCGCTGAGCAAGAAGTCGTAAGAAATCTTCAACTGTCCATTCTTTTTCATCTTTCCTTATGCGAGTAAAGTAGCAAATATCCTTCCGTTTTGCATGCTCTACTCTAAAATTCTATTTTAAAAGTTCAAAAATCTTATTTCATTTTTTGCATATCATCCCTTCTTTTTTTCCATACATTGCTCTAAATTACTCTCTCCCTTTCTGCCAAAAAAAGATAACGATCAAAAAATTAGACATTTCAATTTAAAATATACGAAAATCAATCAAAATGGATTTCCAATGTAATCTGATAAATAATTTACTTCTTGGTTACATCAAAAAAAGCAGATTTAGTCAAAGTTTCTGAATATTAAACAATATTGAATTAGAAACTTTGACGAAATCAGCTCATATAAAAATATTAAATGTTGTCAAAAAAACAAAAATCGGTTGCATTGTCCTATAAACTTCGATTAATTACAAAAACGATTTACAAAGGATCGTCACCATCTTCCCATCCGGTCAAACTTTTAAGGCAAAATGGACAGCTGACACTATCAGGATTTTCGTCATCTGGATCGAAGAAAAAACCCGCCTGAGCCATCTGAAACAACGCATCTTACGATCGAATTTAATTAACAAAAGCAAATTTTATCAATAATAAGGATGAAAATCAAAATGGTTGATTCAGGATCCCAAAATAAACAATGAAATATTCTGAAAACGAAACAAATTCAAATTAGCTTGTAACATAATTTCAGAAAAGAAACCAACCTTTTCCGCTGATAAATTGGCAGAATGTTGATGAGGCCAAGCATTTTTCGTAAATGATTTTAATCGGTTATTGCAAAAAATATGCTCGGTATAAGTATCACAGTTTAACAAATCAACAATGGCTGTCATATTTGATGATATAACTGATATCTCTAAGATATTACAAATAATATCATTTTTTTAAAAAAAAACTCGCAGTACTCAATTAGTAGAAGAATATTACACTTATCAAATTTATTGTATCTACCTCTTTTCAACAATTTCCATTTTAGAAAAACTATTCGCTTTCTAATTAATATCATTATATTAGCAAAAATTTCTTGCCAGTATTTCTACCTAAATTTCATCATATCTTATCAAAAATTATCATACATTATTAAAGAAATCTCTCAACATCAATAGCACTCTATCATTTGAATATGTATTTCACTCACTCAATTAAAATATATGCAGAAATGATATAAGTCAACAGGAGGAAAAACGAGAATAAAACGTAAATGACAATGCTTTATTCTCGTTTTCCTTGCTAAAATCAATAAGAATAAGTCGAGGAGAATGAAAATTTAATATTTGTGAAAATTTATTTGGCAAAGCATAAGCTTGTTGGAAAGATGAATGATACTGTTGGTCAATGCTACATGGTACTAGTAAAATTTTTATAAAAATTTCAAAATTTGCATGAATCAATTATACCACAGCATTCAAATACAATGTTCACAATTTAAAATAATAATTCAATCAGTACAAAATTATTGGAATTAAAAATGTATAAAAGAAAATAGGTTTTTAATACGCAAATTTTCCAGCCAAAAAATAACTTGCAAAAAATATGAAAAATTATAAATATCTTGTGGAAATGATTTCAGGCTAGGGATGAAAGATTGGGAGTAAAATATAGAGAGAGTATGAAATGGCGAGAAGTGCAGAGAATGATAAGATTATCTGACATATACTGGAAGAGAATTTGAAAACACTGCAAATGATGCGCAACTTTTACACCTCTCTTCAAATTGAGAAAAGATAGCTCGAGGAGGTTCGGGTTCATTTCGCCAAAACGAAGATTGATTTAATTTGGCGGCTTAATTTTAAGTGGTTGTCCGGATAGGGCGGATTAGTTTGCCTTGGTGGGGTCGGAAGTAAGTTGAATAGATTTCTAGGTTAAAGGTCACTATGTAGATATATTAATAATTTTACAACTAAAGTGGCTTACATTTTTATAACTGCGGTTAAAGTAAACAGCAGTGTCCCGTGGTAATTTGTTTGAAAGGTTTCGGCAAATTTCTTCTTGAAATATATAAGATGAAAGGGAAGAGAAAGTGAATTGATGTTTAAACCCGAGAAAATAACTGCTGTGAAATGAGAAATCCCTAAATTAATTGAGAGAGTTGCGAAATTTGTGAAACTGAGAAGAGTAAAGAGAGAGAGAGAAAAAGGAAACCAAGAAGTTGTATCATCTTTAAAGAAAAGATAAGGATATAACAGGATCAATTTAATTGATTTCAGAGCACGTATATTATTTTAGAATAGAAATAATTAGCTATATTTATGAATTAATCAGTTATAATTATGGAAGGATAAATCAGAAAATGGAAAGGGCGAAATAATAACAAGCAGTTATCTTCAAACGACAGTCGATGTTTCCGATTTAATTTTGACCATGCCTTACTAATTCATTCAAATGGTTTGTTTATCTGTCATTTCAGTTGTTTTTTACTTTGGCTCATTCATTTTGTTCATTCAGCTCTGTCATGAATTAGCTAACGTGCTTAAATTATGCAACATGGATAACATGCAAAAGTTTAGGTGAATTTTATTTTTTTGTATAGAGAATTACCGTTAATTTGTGGAATTTCAATATATTGGCCTCAGGCGTATCATGAATAAAGGGTATCACGAATAAAATATTAGCCGTCAACTTTATAATGTTCGTTATTCTGTGCATTTGTGAGAATTACGGAAATTCTCATGAATACTCTTTCAGGAACAGACCATCCTTTCTCAGAAGCTAATTCGAAATAAATCTGAAAGCATCGAGACAGCAGACGTTTCAGTAAACAAGAAAACGGTTGCTTTAAGGATTTATCAATAATAAGCAATTTTTTAATTGTCTCATTATACGTATACATAAATTTTTATTTTTCCTTTAGAATACTGAAAACTTTTATTTTTCTTTTGGAACGATGCATAGATGAATCAAAGAAGTTTATTTAATTTTTAAAATGAAACCTACTGATTATTATAGAGAAATAAATGAATCTGAAGAAATGGAACACCATGATTTATTGGAACATATCCGACGACGGTTTTTAAGCGGTAAATGTTTCTTGTGGTTTATAGTTGATTAAAAATTATGTGCCAACTATGGTTTATAGTTGACGCATAATTTTTAGCTACAGTACTTAAGATATATGCTTAAGGTAGAAGTTTATAATTTTACAGAAATTGAAAATCAACATTTTGTATGGAAGTCAAGTACAGTTAAAAGCAAGAATAAAAATAACAAAATGGGATATAGAAAAAGTCTTGCACGATGTTACTTCAGCATTAAAATGGCAGATATGTTATTTAAAATTCCAGTTTGTGCGAAATATATCAAGCAGTGCTCTGTTATTTACTCTACTGATACATAGTTATAATCTTCGAGAACATTTAGGTGAATATAATGCGAATAGCCGGAAGAACTATGGAGTTGAGAAAGCTGCAAATAAAGCTCGGAAACTTCGTATGACGTGTCGCAAAGTCCCGTCTACGAAGAATACATTTGAAGAAAATGTGTTACGAAAGGCAGAAAGTATCCGCACTTCTGCTGCTTGTAAGCAGAACTTCCGTTTATATTTCATTTTATCACTTCAGCACCGTAATTGTTGATTTCTTTCACTCCCCAATGTAAAATAAACTTACTAAAATATTTCCTAATATTATAACAATTAAAAAAAAGAGAAAACCAAATTAATTATTGCCCTCTTCCTTGGATAATATTGAAAAATTTGATGGCTATGTTATACTGTTATTAGTCTGATGGAAGAATTCTAGAATTGCTTAATTACGGGAGAAAAGATTCTGTCATTTCTTTTATGATTTTTTTTTCAAATTTCAGTTAAGCAGTGCTGTACAAGATTGAACAGTTATGAAGATGAGAATGTTGAAATTATTACTAAGCCTTACAATTCCATGCTGTCATTACATACTTCGGAAAGGGTTTCCCAAGTCGAAAAGGTTAATTTTTGGCTAGACATAAATTTTGGTCTGTACTCTTTCAAGACACAGTATTAATATTTTGATCTTAATGCTGTGTTAAGTTTTATTGAAAGCAGTCATTACAATTGATATATAGTTGATATATAGATACTAAAAAACAACTGATATATAGAAACTGATATATAGTTAATGCTACCTATTTTGAAAAGAACATGTCCTCCTCATTTAGTTTATTATACTAAGATACGAAATAAAATGCAAATTTGAAACCATTGAAACCTCATTCTATTGGTTGCCAGCGGTAGACTTGTTGTATACATGAATTTTTTTAGAACAGCTGGAAGAAAAGTATAGAATGTTCTCGCAGTAAGCAGTTCTCTCCCGGTACCTGCATTTCTCGAAGTTGCGCGTTCAAGTCGGCATTAGCATCTGCAGAAGAGTAGTTATTTCCATATTTTAAATACTTGCATTTCCTTTTCAGCACGTTATGGGAACTAGATTTTCATGTTTCAATGTGTTATAAAGTGACATAATCATACATTCACAATCCTTTATATTCAGTAAATAATTTGCTACTATAGATTACTTAATTCAGTGAGCATTTAATGGCATTAAATGCTAACTGAATTGTTATTCCTGGTAAGATGTGACATATCAAATCAAGTTAGGTGTTTCGTAGCTCCGATGTTTTTGATATCTTTTACTCTAGTTTATATTCTTTCTTCAGACCACGAATAACAAAAGTTGTGGTTGATGGCGATAGATTTTTGCGAAATAGTAAAATGAATTCACATCTATTGCAATCTACGCGCTTGTATAACAAGAACAGAGTGGATAAGAAGGACAAAGTAATGCAGCCTCAAATTGCGACGGTAAAATGTAAGAATTTAAGATATATCATTGAAATAATAAATATTTGTTCAAAGTTTGATGGTGGGTAGATTTGCACCGTAGAAGGATAATAAAAGAAAATTTAAGTACAACTATGATTTAAAGCACATCTTTCAGCCAGTGATGCCTTCAATTGCTCAACAAAAAACGAGGCGGTAAGTTTATTATTTGGAAGATTTTCTAAATATGAACTACTTTTGAATAAGAAGAGGAATTATGCGAATTGAGTAATGAGCTTATTTGAAAATGCTAATTTTTGCTAATATTTAAGATATCGCAACATATAGATTTGAATATAAATGGCTGTGGACATAGTAGTTCTTGCGACGAAATCAATGTTAAAATCAACCAATCATTTAGCACATTGAATAACCTGGAAGACGATATCGATAAGTAATATTTTCGTCGTGTTCATTTTTTTCACTAAAAATGTCTTTTTATTTTTTCTTAATCGGTTAAATTGATTAGTTTTGATTTATTGGCATTAGCCTTGCCAACTATCACTAGTTAAGAGTTTGATTTTTAAGATTAGCAGTTTATATCGCATTCATTATTTTTAGTACATGTTTTAAGGCATTAGAAGATTTCTTCAGGAGATATTTCTTCACCATTTCTGCAGTAGATCAAGATTGCTAGAGCTAAAGAATTAGTCGCAATATTATTTATCATTTAACTTCTGAATAGCTATTCACTTTTTTCGTGATAATTTGGTTGCAGAGCAGCACGTTTTTTACAAGCATCATTTTCAAATCGATTGTCAATTTCTTCACAGTTCGAGTACGGTAAAATGAATGAAAAAGAATACATTACGAGAAAGCGTTCTTACAACGATCATCTCCTTCCTAAGGTTCGTCAAATTGATCTTTATTATTCACTCTCATTTCAGATATTTTTTCAGTTTCGTTTCCAAAATTCTCCTACAGCTATTAGTATTAAACTTATAGCAGGATATCAAAGGTCTAACATCTGGTAAAATATTGGGTTGTCGGCTGAAAGCTCACATTGCTTATGGAAGAAACGTCATCGAAATGAGCCAGCATCTTCGGGATGTTCGCGATGCATTCACTAACCAAATTTTGTTACATAAACATGAAGTCTGTGATGGCAGGGTGCGTATCACTTCACTCCATGAACATATATCCTTCATTTATTTTTCCTAGTTTCGCTTGCGATAAGTTTATGTTTTGCTTTCTCTTACAACATACAATTCTTTTCTGCCTTTATAAAGGAGGAAGAACTGTGCTGTCCTTTTTCCTATGAGATAATTAGTTTACGGGCTTCACTTCACCGACTTTATTTCTTTTAGTATCAAAATACGGTGCTTTGGCGAGATTATATAATTTGACAAAATCATATTTTGTCTTAAAAAAATTCTCATGGAAGCTAACGTTTTTTGCAGCTTTTTCTTGCTATTTCTGTGCACTTCTTTTGTTAGCACAAGTATTTTATCAGCTGACTTTTCGACGTTTATGACGTCTCCAAAAACGAATTAGCTAACACCAGCTGATCATATTGTATTACAGTAAATATGAATAACTAAAGTTTAGAAAACAACGAGTCATCAAATTAGCATTATAAATAAAATTTTTGATATCAAAAGATGAAGTACATTGAATGCAAACAAAAGAAAATTCGTTCAAATAGAGTATTTGTTTGATCTTGCTGATAATACATGCGAAGGATATTTGATCAAGTAATCATTGTGTTTCTTCTAATAACATTTTTTTGCTTGGAGAGACAACCAATTTTGTATGAAAATTTACAGGACAAGGAACCTACGATTCTATCGCATGTTCCTTAGAGATTTATTATAATATTCTAGAATTGGTTGGGTTAAATTAGGTGTACATTTTCAGAATTTACTATCAAACGAAAGATGTTTTGATCGGCAAAGCAGCTTTTATGCAACCGTACAGCAGCGCATGAATAAGGCGCTTCATAAATCACTTTCCTATAATGTATCTTTTTTTTAAGTTAGATGCACATTACAGTTATATTGTTTATTTTTGTTTATGATTTGATTAATAGTTGTTGGTGTGGATTATACGGGCGCACATGTAACATAGTTGTAGAAATTGTGATATGCACTTGTCATGAAATATAATTTATTCTTGAAGAATTATTTGAACACGAGTGGTATTATGTTTTGATTGAAGGATTAGCAAAAAGCTTCGAATCGCGTGATCTTTCTGCTCTTAACCTCACTGTTCATTTGCTACACATCCTTCAGTCATTTATTTTTATGGATAATGCTGAATTAATAATTTCATATAGGTTCTTAGCTGTGCATGCTTTTGCTCCCTGTGCTATTTCTAATTTTTGGTTGTGTTAGTCGTGTTCGGAGATTTTTGCTCTTGTAACGTTGTTGTGTCATGTCACAACTTTTTTCTTTTCTTAGATCTTTATTTGCAGATGTATCAGTCTTCTCAGTATCATCAGGATCGAAGCTATGATCCACTTAATTTACCCATATCGTCATTCTCAAAAATAGACTCAATGCAGAATGACGTCAATGATGATGATGATGATGCAAAAAAAATAGTGCGAAGTACAGAATCTGAAATTACGCCACAAACGGTATATTATCCATCTATTCTGTATATGATTTTAGGATAATCGTTTTTAGTATGGACTGTTGTTCATTTTAGGTTGTGCAGCAAGAAAAGAACTCCGATATGGAATTAATAGATAAGTCACTGTCGACACACTCCATCTGGAATGGTATATGTTGTTTTGCTATGTAAGAAAATCTAGCTTGCTGCAAATGATTTATAATTAAAAAATATGAAATGTATTGTAGCATTGGTTTCGAGAAATTTTCGAGATTAATTTTTGTTTGACAACAGGATTTAATTTTTATTTGACTGTGATAGATTATTTGACTCCGATTAATGCCCTATCAGTAGCAGTATACTTGTGCAATTAGTTTTCTCTTATTACCCTTATTACCCTCTTTTTTCCCTTATTGTTTCTAATTATTCAGAATGATTACAAATTTTGTCTCGCATCAAGAATCTTTAACATTCTTATTTAGGAACACTTCTATTTTGATAGTTTTTTTTCTTTTATTGAAATTATTTTAGACGTCGGTCACAGTGATGAAGTCAATAATTCACCGACATACTCATCCCAAGAATTATTAAAGCGTGAGCATTATGCAAGTAATACTGTAAAAGCTCTTCGACAATTCTATAAAGATAGTATGCTGTATTTTGTTGAACTTCGTAGGTAGGTATCGGTTTTTCCTTATTTGATATTTTTGTTTTGTTGCTGTATTTTCATAATTATTTTATGGTCAAAATTTAACGCAACAAATTTACAGAAAATCTTCCCTAAAATTAAAAATTTTACCATTTTATTTATAGAGTATATCATCAGCGAAAGGTTGAAGATTTTTGGAAAGTGGAAAATGAAGAAGAAAGAATAAAGGCGGCATGTTTATTGCTAAAACGAAAATACATCGATTCAGTTCGCAGCGCAATGCCCATGGTAGGAATTGGAATGACATCATTGTTTTCCTTTTCAGAATCGGTTATTTTTTGTTAATCTTTCTTCAGAAGAATTTGGTGGATTATCATTTGCATGAGACCGCTCGAATACAACTGCTTAATCTCGATTTACAGAAACATTTGATACTATTAAAGTAAGACTTACTTAAATATCTTCTGCTACACTGTTTTTATCGAACAACATAATAAAAACGAATTAGATGTCATTGGAAACAGATTATCCCTTCAGAAGTAACGGTAGTGGAAGAGTAATCATTATGAAGTTTAACACCAGCAACTATTAATTGACCGGAAATAAATGCTTTTTAGAGACAGCGCAAAGAATTTCAATTTCGAAAAATTCCGTCACGGTTCGGAGAAAGTGCTTCTTTTGACGAAAGATTTCGAAAAAAATAATTTGGCGAATGAATTGGAGAGATGGGAACGAAAATTAAGGACACGTTCACGTAATTAATTTTTTCGATTTGTTTAACATCTTGTGGAAAATTTACGTGGTTTCGACGCCTTATATGTCAACTAATGTTGGCATATACTGTTAAAATTTATTTAGTTTTTCAGATATTATAATCATTGTCATATTTGCCCATAGTGTTTAGCAAATAAACTGTAAACCGAAGAAAGCACATACTCTGTTTAAAACCGAAGAAAGCACATTGCTCCGTTTAATAACTACAAAAAAATTAAACATAGATAAATTGAGAACATAGATAAATTGCATAGTCAGATTGTTCTGTTAAAAATGATCAAATGACTTAGTCGTTTTAAGGGTCTGTAGAAGAATGGTTTGAAATTATTTTCCCACTCTTTACTTTTTCTATTTTTTATTCTTCTGATCAGATCATTCATATATATTAAGGTTTTAAAATTGATGAAGATCCTGCTACAAACACTGACAGTACAAGATCATTATTTTCAAATCCTCTTCGAGTTGTTCGAAATATCCAGGAAGTGAAAGGTAAGTCATATAATAGTCTTTAACTTGTAAAGGGATAATAATATTAATAATTGATCCATTTGGAATGTTAATGTTTTAGTTCGAAATCCAAGTTACAACAGGAATTTGCAACAACTGCGTGAAGAGTTAAAATGGAAGAGAAGAGAGGCGGATTTCCTGAAGCGGACATTCGATAAGAGAGTAATGCGCAATGATCAGAGGCACGTATTTTTTTTGAGAAAAAAGAAAAAAGATTCCCGCGAATTGCCGAAAGAAATAAATATAATAATGAGCAGACTCATCCCTGTATTTTTTTTCCTCTGCTTATTCCGCACTTTTTTCCTTCTCTTTTGTTTTTCATCCGGTGTGTCAAAACTTAGTAGAATTAAGTAATTTACAATTTGGTAACTATTATTCTTCAACGTAGTAATAATTTTCAGTGAGGAAAACTCATTGAGGGCACAAATCGACGCGCATGTGCATTATATTACGGAAACGGAAAAAGACATTGCACGACTGATTAAATTGCAAAATGAGAACGGTAATCAGTTTTTCGTTGTTTTTCAATTTATTATTTATTTTTGAATATTTTTCATGACCGTTCAATTTTGTTCATACATCGGTTTTTAGATGATAACAATGAGAGATTGGCTGTTGTCTCAACAGGAAGTTATGAAAGTTGTCCAGCACCATCTTCGGAATTTTCTTCAGTGGAAGTTATTGCAGAGAGAATGGATGGAAGATTTTTAGAAACTGATAAAAATAGAACGAATTTCATTGCTGATGTTCACCCCACAAACAAATCCTGCAATTCAGAGTGGGACCTTGAAAATCGAAATGTAGAAAGCACTCATTTTCCGGAACTTATATTGGAGGAAAAGTCCGGAACTATTGATGTTTCTGACAGGTATAAAAGTCCTTACTCACCAGAAAAAACGTGCAGTACTTGTTATTCCGTCGAATTGTCTTCAGGCAGCACCTTAACACCTATAAGACATACTTCTTCAGAACAGCTTATTGAATCTCTTAAACCAAACTATATAGAAGAAAATTGCAGTGCTTCTAATAAAATGCCATTACCCATAGACAACAAGTTACTTTGCTCGCAGGATATTTTGACAGTTTCAAAAGATCCTGCCCACTTAATTCATTCACCAGGAAGTAATCATTCTAGTGAATTATACGGCGAAACTGGAAGTTTCAAACAGGATATTTCAAAAGAGGCACTATTGATGTCTCTTGTTTGTCAATCCGATACATGCTATTCCCAAGAAGAAGAACAGGAGAAATTAGTCGTTCAACCGAACAACATAATCGATGAAAACGAAACTGTTGCGAATCGATGCGATTTGCCTTCCAGTGTTATTGATGAGCAATTTTTTACACCATTACCATCAGATAACGAAACCGACAATGAGAAGAGTGATAATGGAGTGGATGATAGAATTTCTTCACAGGGTGACGCTTTTGTTTTAATATTAGAATCATCTATGCAGTTTCTTTACATACATAAATGTATATTACTTGTATTTAAGTAGTTAACATGAGTTACACTGCATATTCTCATGTTTTGAATTTAAACGAGCTTTTAGCTAATACTGCTTTTTTTGATCGCGGGCAGATCTAATTACCGTGCTATAAATATATCTCATGCATATGGTATTATATTGTAAGCTTTTCTACCTAATGATTTACAACTTTCATCATCGTTGCTGCAAGTTGGATTTAATATGATCATTTCACATCTAAGGAAATTAGATTAGTTTAACTTCCTTCAACCTAATATTATGACTTTTACCGATCTATTCATCTAAGTATAGATTAGGAAGAATCTTAGATTTTTTTGGGGTAGTTAAATAAAAGATAAATTGTAATTTTGCAAATTGTGCATTTGCAGAGTCGTCATCAAGTTTTCACACGACAATTTTTTCACCCATTCCAGATGAACAAATTGACAGTAAGGTAGAAGTAAGTTTGTTATTAAAATGTATTCTATTTCTGGTAGTGCTAAACAAAACCAGTATGAATATTAATTAATTTGCTCATTCTTAGAAGCAATATATCTGTAATAAAGAATTGGGTCATATCTTATTTCAACATCCTTTGATTCAAATGAATAGATTAAACATAACACTTTATGATATAGGATATTCATAATGTGTTTTTAGCATATGGTGAGCGCATCGATTTTTATTTTTCTTTGCAGTTGATTTGATGTCGTCTTTACTGTTCTAGTTTTTTGTTGATAACGCTGAAGAGGATTACTAATTTTTAGCAAAAATCACTGCTTGCTCTCTCTCCAAAGTCGAGAAAGATTAAACTTACGATCAATCCACTTTCCATATCAAAAAGTCCTACATCAGCCAGGTATGCAGCATCAATGCCACGTGATCATAGTTCGAGAAGTCCTAGAGATAATCCTCGCTCGCCTGTAAGTCATTATGGATTTTTTTATCAACGTGTTTTTTTAAGAACCTAATTTTGCGCAAAAATTGTAATTTTTTTTAATCTCTAGTAGGTGATGGATATTAATGAGAAATTAGTCGGATTATTAAAGGATTCCTAATTACAGTTCAACATAAGTTATAAAGTACTGGCAACTGTTTTCTTCATCCTTCAACGTATTTTTTATTTTCAGAAGACAGCATCAAACCGCTGTATATCACATTTGTCTGCTTCTCTGCTCGAATCATTGTTGGATGATTCTTTGTCAACTATGCTAATGTTGAACTGCAGTCAGACTTTAGAGAATGAAACATTTGTGCTTCATGAAGGACGTGATAAGTTAACTGCAAATTCAACTACACTACCCACGGACAGTTCATGGCAAAGTGATCAAAGTTACGATTTAAATAAAATTCCAGTAGTAAGTAATTTTCCTTCATTTTTGAAACACTTTTTTTAATCTTAATCGCAGTATTTTAAATTTAATAACACAAGGGAACACAGGAGTTTCTCAATTCCCCCCAATTATGGTAACATCAAATCGAGAATTAATTCTTTCTTTGTTCAGTTTCTTCCTCTTATGTCTATTAGAAATATTTCTGGTAAAAGAAATTAATACTGAAAGATTTGAAAAAGTCAGATAAAGATATTTGTTTATTTACTTATTCATGAGTGAGAACTTAATAATGTTTGTTTGATATCTTTTCAGCCCGAAAATCTAATACCTGGTCTTGATCTGAGTGGTATAAATAACACTGAAGCAGAAACAGTTGCTGAAGAGAATGATTTTTCTTCGAAGTTGGAGGAAATTAGTAGTCCGGTAGAAATAAAGAATGATCTGGTCAAATCACTAAAATTAATGCCGTCACAGTTCCGGTATTACATTATTCATATTGTAGAAAGATTCTCATATTCTATCAAGTCATATATTTGCCGAAATATTTAATGAATCTTCAACCAGTATCAATGCTTCTAATTAGATACTGCTGCATTCATTATTTTAGATATTATTTGGGTGATGAAGAATGGGCTGTCTCAGAAATCCATTCAATTAATGAGCAGATATGGAATTTGGCCAGGTTAAAACAGCCGTTAGAAATATTGATCAGTGATGATTCAAGTGGAATTAGATCGCAGGAAGTACAAATGAGGTAAATGATTTTTAAGCAATTTGTTTTTCAAATTCAGAAAAAGAAAAAATTTTGTAATTTTATAGGTTGCCAAATGCTGAATGTTTATCTTCCTAAACTTTCGCATCTTTGTCGTTTTCTGTCATTTCTTTCAATTGAATTTGCACATTTATTGGTTATTAGGATCTTATTTCTTTCTAAAAATAATATTTTTTTTAAAAATCTGCCATAAATAAGAGCATGATAGAGAATGAAATAAATAAATAATGCAGGCAAATGGTCGCGGATCGATGTTGTGAAATTGCGAAATGTTGTTTCAAGGATGTTGGCCGTCGTCGATATATGGGACTAGCAAATATCAATTGTTTCCGTCCTCAAAATCCATTGCATTTGGAAAGCATCCTTCAAAAACAGTTTTCTAAATATTACGAAAGTTAGTAATTTATTGAAAATTGATGGTAATTTAACGAGGATTCTTTCCAAGAGGACAATTTTCAAAGCCACTGAATTTGATATTCTTTGTCGAAGGATTGTGCGAATGCAGAAAGGGTTCATAGACGTAGGATTGGCTTTTTGAAATAGTGAAATTGTCGGCTTTTTTGGATGATATTTGTATGATTATTTTCCAAAACGCAGTAGTAGATATTTATCATGTTGTTTAACTAGATTATTACATTATACTGACTTCTTTATTATTATATTTAGGCAATAAATTCGATACGAAGGAAAAGAAGCGTTGGGAATTGTTATCACGTGGCCGTAATTCTGATATCGAAAATATCGTTTTGGAGGAGCTTTATGCTGAACAAGATAGTTGGGAAGATGTATTGGAAAATTATGAAGATGAAATCAAAGCTGAGCTAGTTGCTGAATTATGGCATGAGCAGCTGCATGAATCGTTATCAGCTGCCATTAATGTTTGATATTTTTTGATATTAATATTTTGCACTTTGTATGTGTAAGCCTTAAGTGATTTTTTTCAAATTTTTTACTGTGATCTTTTGGGTTATTTTTTCTTTGATTATCTGCAGTTCACTGTGCAATTGAATCGATTGAATTTCGGTAATTACAGTATGATATCCTCAGAATTCAATGTGTTTTTTAGTCATGGCCACGCATAAATCTTTTAAAACTCACTTATCAAATTATCCAACTGATCCATTCGATTGAGCTACTGTTGGTTCTTGTTGACTAGACCGAGTTCAGCAAACACATAGAGGCATCACTCTGATTTATTCCTACTCTCGGGAATGTATTTCACCGTATTTTAACGTTATCAGATTATGTTACTTTCGCATCATGAGCATGAAACGATTGGTGCTGATAGTTTCAAATCTTATAAAGACAATAACACTTTTGATGGCATTTCTAAATTTTGAACAAAACTTTGTTGTTTATAATTTTTTTTTTCTTTCCTTCATTTTTTT